TGGACTTGTAAAACCCCAAAGACACGCCAACACCAAAAACAATCCCTTGTTTAATAATATCGGTGCCTATTACATTATAGGTTATTAAGCATTGTGCTATACAATATGGGAATATAATAAGGCGAATATGTAGCTGGAAAGAACATACTTATGTCGACTCGTTCAATATACTAAAGACTGCTAAAGCTTTGTATGAGTTCACATATATCGCATTTTGTAGAGAATCTATTTATCCCATATGGGAGAGGAAACGCAAACGGTTAATTAATATTTCACAAGACGCTTTCAATGTTTTATGGTTCTTCGTTAACATTTTTTAAATAAACTTTTCCTGCACTATGTCACACCATGTGATCAACTCATCTGTTATCATAAGAGAAGAAGCCAACTCAAGTCTAAAATGTTTGTAGCATAATTATAGTGCGGTTGAGCTATTTTAAAAATGAATTTGCTGCGAGCATCCGCAATTACTTTAAACGAACAAATCGAATTCCTTTATTATAAAAGACAACTTCGTATAGACCACAGTTATTTGCCTGGAATCCAATCATTACTTTGGCATATTTATAATAAAACGTAAGCGGTTTATCGCAATTAAAGGACAATTCTAACAATAAGTCTGCCTTAGAACTACGAATGTAGTTCCGATAGAGAAATGTTTTAATACATTTAAACTAGACTGATAACCATTATAACCATTTAGATTCACATTAGGGACTGAAAATACGTAAACAGACTGTTGTAGTAGACACATATACTCGTATAATACGTATGCACTTATTGTGAAAATTTGAAATGTCTCGAAAATTTAATCTAGCTAACTAATATGAACGTATCGAACAATTGCGCAATAATCAATTAAAATTTGTAGTAGACAAAAAAAAAAAACTCACTGAAATGTTACATCTAGGTATGAGGTGATGAGATACGGAACCACGGAACCGCTAATAAGAAACATACATCCGGTTCAATATTGATGTAAAGTATGAGGATATATATGAATGACGTATCTCTTATGTTCATGTTATAAACTGAAATTAAATGAAAGATTTCTTTGGTCAAATACAACATATGGCAAATAAAACAACTGACTTTCTGTACATGAAAGATATTTGAAAAAAAAATATGTTTAATCTTGAAACAACAAGTAGATACTTGAATAATGATAATAAGAAAAGAAACAACATTATCACATACATTTAAACATTTAACAATCCTGGAGAGACCAGCATGGTGTTTGTAGGCACAATAGTGTAATTGGTTCAAAGTATAACCAATATACGTTTAACATATACATCCATTGAAACATACCCTTTGTTATACAAAAAATCTTTCAAAAGTGCCCCTATTAAAATATTTTCATTGGTTGGATGAATAAACATACACAGTGGTCAAGGACCACTTAAAGTTAAATGAGAATAACAACGCAAGTTCTGGAATGATAGGAAACATGAATTAATACTTTATATGGTACGTCTTCTTCTTTTCAATATATTTGAAAAATGAAAAAAATAGGACACAGATCTTCAGGAATGAAAACTATCAAGTACAATGTATTTTGATGAAATGTTTGTAAGTTTATAAACACCAAGAAGGAAAGTTTGTCTCTAAGGACGAATTTATTCTGATAGAATCTATTCTTCTATTGCGTTGCAGCTATTATCGACTTCCTGTGAGTCAAAGAAACAAGTCTTCAGATGATCATTACTTGTCTTGGAAAGGAAATAAAATAAGGTGAGGAATTTAACACTGGTGACCAGGGTTGCTTGCGTCTGATAATTCTACATGGTAGAACTTCTTTGAAGGCCAAACATGTATTTGTTTATTTTTATATATTATCTATTCATTTGTGCACTGATTAAACGCTATATAAAGTGTATTGTTTGAACTTCAGAAAGAAAACGTATTTGTTGCCAATTATTACAATGTCGTTATTATTGATCGACGTTAATAAAGACAGCTTTTATCTTCATCTGAATAAGTCATTAAACTTAGTCATTAATTTAAAAACGTAAGAAGAATTGACTTATACATGCGATGTAACTCTCTTACTTTAGTATATGTTTTCTCAGGTACATCTATGAAGTTATTCATTTTGACGATCATCTTGTCGTAATAGTACATGCGATATAGAAAATATAAAACATGTGTTACATTTTACCTGAATTATGTAATTAAAAAACCAAAGCAAAAATAATTGCTCATAAAACAATTTAATAAAACTTGGAAGCAAAAATCGTCTACCTAGTTAATGTGGTAGTATATCTTTCTTTTCTTGCACATGTATTGACTATAAACGGACAGGAATAACGAATCCTCATTAAACAAGAGTGCTATATACTCGTATAGTTTCTCCAGTTTGCGTTAATGCGATTTACATGCTCATTAGATGTATGGTGATCCGTATTATATACAGTTTTATACAACAAAGGGGAGAATTTTTGATCCAATCAGAATAATGACAGTGACTTATGACAAATGTTTTGTATGTAAAGATCAGTGAAGCAGTAGTGCACAGCCTCCTGCAATCACCAATAACCAATAATATAGTGAAGGATACTTATGTATGTAGTTCTAGAAAAATATATCATAAAATGATCATATATATAAACTTTGCAGATGATGTCGCCATGTAAAGACAGATATGTGTGTTATATGAGGGCGTTAAAAGGAGTATTGATTTGTAGTAGGTGAACTTGCTAAGAAAACGATATAACAACAACAACAACAACACTTTTTGTAAGGTGAGAGATTTTTGAAATAAGAATCATTAATTTTCTGTTTTAACTCTATATTTCAATTCCAAAATTTTGGTTATCATTTTGGCAAAGAACTAATGATTATTTGCGTAGGGTTTTCGGTTATAAACATCAGACAGTTTATCTGATCTACATGTAAACTATGTCATTTTTCATACTATATATTCCTCACAAATTTAATATGAAAATGATAAAAGGTTAAAGAATCTTTATTTCAAATGACAACTTCTTTTTAAATAATTATATTTATTTCTTAACATAAAACTCAAAAGTTTGGGAATTCGAACTTGGTTGATAAAATTGACTTTCGCATATTGACATTGATACGACTACTAGTATATAGATGTACCTTAAGACAAATTGGTACAGAGATTGACCATTAATTTACTTACATTTTTAACAACTGAGAATTTGTGACCTGTTTTATTTTTTTTAATTTCGAACATCTTTCCTTAACTCGATTAAATGATAACACATCTGTGTATTAAACATCTATTAAACATTTTTTTCTGATGTGACACTTGAGAAGTAAAGAGTGAATACATATGTGGCTTCCTTTAATAATACCATTGGCTATCTATACAGATGGAGGAAGTTTTCTATTGACTCTAGGTCAAAAGAAACAACAGCTGAGTGGTTTATATAACAGTAACCTTAGTGCATTAACGAGTTAACTTAAAAGAAGTTTGAGTTAACTTGTTACTGCACTAAGGTGACAAAAACTTGCTGTTTGGCAATACTGATCCGAGACATTTTGATATCGGTACGGATTTTAATGTATGGTACAACGGTTACCACTGAGTAACACTTGGTGACAAGGTGTAAGACTTTCAGTTACGTGTAGTTTTAAATTGAAGATTGTTGTTTTAGATCATTTTTTTTTTAAATCATATTTTGCAAAACGTGACCCCTATGTTTTTTTTTTGCTTGCGAGTAATGTGAGTCACCCCTTGTACGACTTTAATTATTGAAATTAATGAAATGAATGAAAATATATATTTAGTCGGAAAGAAATGCTAAAAGTGAAACAAGTTATCAACTTGCTTTCATATAATTAACATAAATAAAAAATCAGATTATGAAATCAGCAATTCTAACACGACCCGCATTTTTCCCTATTGAACATAGAAGAACAGAAAGTGTGTGTTATTATGCAACAGATGCACAGTTTGACGTTCTATATTTACTAAAAATCCGACGCGCTGAAAATAAGTACGGAAACAAATCAGGCGCAACTTTGCTTAACTATCAAGTACGGCAACATTTATTTGTTGATGTCGTGTTAGAATCGAAATAATATATCCAAATCAGTGATTTTATCGCTTGATAACATCACTGTTTGTCGTTCGGATGCGCATCATTATATCACTCGGGCTACGCCCTCGTGATATAATTCCTCGCATCCGAACTCCAAACAGTGATGTTATTGAGCGATAAAATCACTGTTTGGGATATATTATTTCTTAAATAAAAACATGATTAAAATACTTAAAGTAAACCATAACAAATTAATATGGAAACAAAAGAAAAACCTCACTAAAATGAATATGTCTCATCCCAATACTGCCAAACATTAACAGCCAAACATTAACAATGTTTGTTAACATGATTTCTGCATTACAAGTTATGGGCAGACTCAAGTCTCTTATTTTCAACTATCTGCTTTTTTACTAATTTCATTAAAATACTTAATTCTGTAATTATGAATTGTATGATATTCATTTTATTGTTCATTGTTTTTGAATTTGACAATATGCAATGTTTCTCTCCTTGACTAGTTCGAATGCTGGACAGTTAAATACATAAATAATACAATACTGTCTATTACACAGATGTTTTTGTTTTTGAGAAAGTAAAAAAAACATCCTCCATCTTAATTCTGTAAAAATGTTATTAGTCGCCGGTAGAAACCGGCGACTATATTTGTAACAGTTTAATATTGTACCTATGGTAGGAGAAGCCCTTAAAATCTGAAAATAAAAGCATATCAATCATTGAACAATTAAAGACAACAATTATTTTTCAGTAATCTCAAAAATTCAAACATATGATAACTTTGCTCAGTGAAATGAAATATGCACATATTGACATCTTAAAAAGCAACATTACATTTTCATAAAATGAATAAATAACGTATCCCCAAGGATCAGTCATTGAATATTAGGGTTACTTTTACTTTTTTCTATGTGTCAAGCATTGCTATTTTATAATATATAAATCATTAATGATATTTGAAATGACACTTTAAAATTATTTGGTTGTTTATATTTTATGAGACCTATTATATTACATTATTTTATCTAATTATAAACAAATTCTCCCTGGCCTTTCGTAAGAATCACGTGACTACATGTTTATCGTTATAAAATCTATTAATAGTAACAGATTGCTGATAAGACATACAGGTAACTTGTTAATGGTTGGCAAAGTGTGTGGTAGCTGATAAGATGCAAATCATTGTAATTTTTTACAGATAATTACATAAGTTATTTCTCATTAATCAGTTTCATACCTTATATCATTAGAAAAACCTGTTTACTCATATTTTACACATTAAAAATAAATTTTCAAAACCTTTTCCTTTCTTCTTGGTAAAGGGTTAAACTTGGCTCTTTCTGTCAAACTTTTGAGAAGAAAGTTCAATAGTTTAGTTTAGGTTGAACATCCCAAAATTATTTTATGCTTAAGAGGCACATTATTGAAATATATAATGGTAATTGTTGATTTCGGTATATTCCGTCGGTTTCCGTCACGCAGGTTTCCAAAACGGTATGACGTTAGGGGTCCGGAATCGTATTAGATACATAGAAAAAAAATAATAAACTGTGTTGATAGTTTATCGCACTGAAAGGCAATTAAACGTTAATTTTATATATCGTATGTAACGATGGGAAAACATGTATTGATTTCAACTAAATTATATATATTTTTTCTATAGCACATAATAATGATGTACAACACTTTTACAGTAAAATTGTATTGTTTCATGAAATAATTAAACATATATATTTTCATAGTCACTTTGCAAATATTCGATGATCGGTAATTATTTGTCGGTAATTATCTGAACTAGTAACCTATACGGATTCCAATGTATGGTACAACAGTATATGTATAAAGAACAATTACAAGAAGAATTACCAGCATAGCACTTGCCTTACAAGCCTCAGTGGCAAACATTACTCAACTCATTGTTCTTCTTATTTTTATAGTTGAATCATTATTTTTCTATCCGGCGACTTGATGCTTTAGCATCAAAATCTCTACTTGTATATAACTTTACTGTGTTATCCTACGTGTAAAGGTAGCATAATATACCATTTCCTTTGAATGCTTTGTGTTGATATCCTGTCGTGTCACAGACTACATTTTGTGCTAGTATATATAAACATGGTCTTGATTATTGTCATATCATTTTTTTAACTTATCTGACATTAATTCACAAAGCATTTTAGTGATAATTCACGATCTCGCGTTTTAATAACATTGACCACTTGACATGGAATTTACATATACATGATTTATATATCAACAGAGGAAGGATACGCTTAAAATGAAATACAAGAAAAGCATTGATGCAAAGCATCAAAGGGCGTCCAAACAGCAGGTGCAGATGAACTAGTAGATATATGATGACAAGATATTCTTATAAACTTTTCAATGGTTCATTGGGTTTTACCAGAATTGTATATCACTTTTGAATGAACGGACGAAAGACATTGTTCATTATTTATAACTTTGATCGGCATGCTAGAAATTAGAATATTACTTGTTATTTCTTTATGATCGTGGTTATTAATAGCAACGGATATACATGTATACAATCATTCATAATCCATATGTGTAACGCATGATCAACACCATACTTGTGTAATTGTCCCTTATTATGTTATCGCTATTAGCGAGGACCCCCTCTTAAGGTATCTGTTCACACTAAGTAACAATATGACACTTGTTATATTACCATGTTGATCATGTTGAGCATAATTGTTTATTATTCAATAAATGTAATTTCTATTTTAATAAAAAAAATACAGATTTTATGAATATTGTTTTCTTTTCTTTTTTTTGTGTGTGTTTTATGCGCTATTTTGATACTGAGTTTTTACGTTTACTACTATTTTAAGAATTCAATTGTCATAATGATCGACGATTATAAGTCAAAACTTAACTGGAAAAAGTCAGTAAATCATGGTTAATCTTTCAATATATAATATTGTTTATTCTTAAACCATATACATGTACATTTGTATTTTTCTTTATCATTTTTTAAATTATCAATCAATTGAATAATTCATAAAATCTGATTTGTAACTTTGAATAATTCCTCGGAATATTTACTAAACACGAATAACAAATTAAATAAAATGTTTTAAAGTTGATAGTGTCATATTAATGCCATAAAAGTGTACATTTTTTCTCAATTATTGTACATATATTTATTGTTTTTATCTCATATAGATAAAATATAACATGCGATTTGTGTTGTTGGGGTTTTTTTTTCGAATTGTATGTTTATGTATAATAATAATCAATCAATTCGAGAGTTGATCTGTGTTTATTAATTATTGTAACCAAACTAAGTGACAAACATTCATTTTGAAAAAAAGCTTATTTATCTGTAAAATATTTGTTCTGTTCTGTAACGATATCAAACATCTACTCCAAAACCGGGAGAGACCGGACAATAAACGTGTGGTACTATTCGCCGGTCATTAGTAAATCCCGGGAGAGACCGGGAATTACCAATAGGAGTACATCCCTCTATAAATAGATTTTCGGAATATTTAGGTCATCAACTCATCATTCTATTAACAGCTTTCGGAATAACATACCATAATAACCCAGCTGTGTACTACAAAATGATAAGCAAAAATACACCGAAGAGCGCGATTTATTGACGGAAAAGGTTATTTAATTTGAAAATGTTTGCATTGCGAAATTCTCCAGTTCGCCATTCATTGTACATATCGCGACTTATTAATAATCAAGCACCCTCATACCGATCGGAATGATCGGCTTTTATTATTGGCAACTATAAAACGCTCGAGAAGTTGCTGTCGCCCTTTCACAAAATCTCATTTTATTCCAATAGGCGCCGCGCTTCGGCGCGGACGCCAATAAAGGCATTTCCTTCCCATAACAATGTAAGCCTGTTACACATTTATATCATAAACGTAATTGTAAAGTTCATTTTTACGGTGCACAGATCGGATATATAAAATCTGGTTCTGATACATAATATGTTTCACAAACAATAACTTTTGTTGATAGCCCATTTTGACGATTGTTTCGTGTTGTTTATTGTCATTGTAGTAGGAAATTAAATATCTTTCTTTATGTCTCTTTTCAATAGTAAAAGTCTATGTATATTCATGTAAATTTTAAATCTTTTGCAGTAATGGTCAGCATTATCAACAAACAGCAGCCCGTGATTTGATGTTAGAAGTGCCTTTGAAAACAAAATCGCGTTGTTTTTGCTACAGATATCATTATCTGCGGAGAAATGCTCAACAAGAGGGGTCTAAGCTTAAAGTTACTTATAAAACCTTTATTTGTGCACCCGGCGCGATTTGGATTTTTCTTCTTTACATTTTCATTTTTATATTTTGTATATGTCACCGTTACACCTGAAACAATCAACTATCCTTATAACACATACAA